CCCCTCCGCCTCCTCCGTCATCTCACGTCCCTCAAACACGGTGTCCTCCATGAAGGCGTACGCCTGCATGCCGTCCCGCGCAGACGGCGCTTGCGCGGGTGGGTGAAGCATCATCGTCAGGGCCTCTCTGCGGCTTGTTGTTGACACAAACTCCATCAGACTGTCTTCATGGGCGAAAAAAGGGTGGAATAGCGTCGAGGCTGCAACGCAGTGGCATGGCGCCAACAGCGGCAGTTGTGCCGTTGGTAGAGCGTAATAGTGGAGCGAGCGGTATCCGCCCACCAACATCGGTGCAGGGAGAACCACTTCCTCCATTACATCTGCTGTCTCCTCGCTGTCGTCGAGAAGGGGCCGCACCACAGGCAACGCACTGCTACCCTTTTGGTGCTCAAAAAAACGATGGGCCAACAAAATATCTGCCGCCGACCCGTTTTGTTTCTGCTGCTTTGATGTCAAAAAGGACGCGCTCTGTGCAAGCTCACTCATCGGCACGAACCCCACAACACGGCACCACGACCCACGCGCAATGCACGGGGACAGATTCTGCAGCACCACGACTTTCGTGCCCACGGTGAGGCGCAATCTGCCACGCTGCGCCACCGCCAACGCAAACAGCCGCCGCTCAACAAGATCAGGCTGCGCCGCCGACATACACTCGTCCAGCGTTTCAAAATGAAAATGCGCCACAAAACGATTACCTTCACTACCACAATCGCGTGGTATTGCATTCGCATCAGTACTATCACCACCACCAACAGACCTCCTGGTTGGGCTCAGGCCCGATGTCCATAGAGGAAACAGCCGCGCTTCCACCGCATTTTTGGCGAGGGCGTGCTGCAGCGCCGCTGTCGCTGCGCGTCGCGCACACTTATTACTGCCAGAAGCCGCAGTGAAACGCAGGCGCGCACCAAAAAGGCGACAGCGTCGGTCAGGAGGATATGCAACGTAGTCGATGTGAAACACATCAACGTCAAGAATTTCAAACTTTCTAGTGTTTTGCACCGCTGCGGCCACATCCAGTTCCAGAAGTCGTCGCAGGGGCAGCACATCAGCAACCATAGGCGCACAGAATAGAAGGGTGTGTGTCCAGCGGCCAAGCAGCACAGGTGGTTCAAACAACGGCTCGTAAGTCTGCTCAAACAACTGCTGGCTACACCCAGCACTGTCCGTTGTACAAGGAAGCACTGAAGAGAACGAGCAACCGTTCGTAGGTGCATGTGCCACACGGCGCAGCACCGCACCTATCGCATATGATTTTTTTAGAGCATTATGTTCTGCATCCGCACATTCCAAAGCCAGACGTCTGCTCTCCAAAACAACACTGTGCCGCTTCACCGGAGGGACGTGATGCTCAGCACATTGACTCACGGACAAACTGGGCGTTGCTGCAGCAATGGGAACATAGCCATCTCCCTTCAACTCTACGCTCAGTGGGTATTCGCGAAGGAGTTCATGTCGCACACGCATCGATGAAAAAGTTGGGTAACGAAGGAGAATCTCTTCGTACGGGAGGAGGGACACACCACCCCTACTCACAGGATGGCTCAGAAACGACTCAAACGCCTCGGGCAACTGATGCAAGAAGTCTTCCTCGTGCTCAACAGTGGCGCCACTGCTGGCACCGTCACTTTTACCTGCCGCACCAAGATTTTTTGATCCCCCTGCAAAACAAGGCAAGATACCGGTCGCCGCGTCACACAGCTCCTCAATGAAGGACCTCTGCTCGACCCCTGTCATAGTGCGTTGAAAGATGGGTGCTACACGACGCAGTGCGGCAACCAGCGGCTCATCAAGAAAAAAAACTGGCTCTTGCATAGGAGGTAGGACACGCACGCTGACATCATCACTTCGGATGCATGCCACATCTTCGCAGCCAGTACCGTCAAAAAGCCCACGATTATGCTGATAGGCAGGGCGATACCCAACAAACAGCGCACAAATCCCCCCAAAGAGGGACACCCCCTCTCCAATCGATCCCATTGGCTCGCCGGCGTGGAGAAGCAGCTCTCGCCTGATCCGAGCAATTCCTCTTGGTTCAAGACACCGGGCACTATTAGCTACTCCATTGCGCGTCCACTGGTCCAATAGCCGCGCAATCGCACGCCTTGACAAAAGATGGGCGTTGCTGATCAGAACGACGGTTCCGTGCGATGCATCCTTAGAGGTATCTGCATGCATTCCCAGATGAAGCGGGGACACACTCTCCTCCAGTTTTGGAGAACCGCACATACTGGGCCGCACTCGGAATGCTTCCAAGTCCATCAGCGAGCTATAATCAACACAGTGCTCAAGGGGACAATAGAAAACCTCCTCGGAGTGAATTGTACGCAGCAGCGCGTTCACCACAATTTCCACCAATGGCACTTCAGGATCATATGGGGTGGAGAGATATGCCAGTCGGGTGTTTGGAATCAAGAATGGGGTCGAGTTTAGTGACGAATACCCTTCTATCAGAGCAGCAGTTTTTCCCTTTTCAGTTGTATTTGCAGCAGACACAACGGTTGGGCCCAACGCAGGTATGACGCTCTCTTGTAGTGTCACCTTCTGTCGCCGCTGCAGAATCAATGCTCTCCATGGCAAGCGTTGCTGCAGACATCTCTCCCCAAACGTCATCACCGACTTGCTATAGGCCTCATCATCCACAGTGTCATTCGGAGTTTTTTCTCCCCCACCTGTCCATGCAAAGGTACTTCTCTTACCCAATACAGTATCACAGAAGCTCAATGGGATACGGCGACTGGTACGGCCTAGGCTTTCCTCACGCAGCACCTCGCGTACTCTCCGTACCAAAGCATTACTATCCTCTGCAGGGGTCGTTTCGAGAAGAACGCCAAGCGACTGGCGCAGCAAACAGCTCCACTTCACTAAAGGGCACTTCCTTCCTTTGTTCTCCAACGAGTCCGGGAGTTCTCGATCTTCTTCTTGTTTTTGCAGGTCGCACGCCAACGCTTTTAGTTTCCACGGAGACACCAAATCGAGACATCGTCCGTGTCGCAGACTCGTGTCTATGCCGAAGCCAGCTTCAACAAGGTGTGTCCAATGCGGTGAGCGCAGTGACACAAACTGCCGTGTGAAGGGGCAGTAAATAGAACCGTAGTCAAGCCATGACAGATACGCCCTCCGTAGACGTGCTTTACTAGCGGCCGCTACAGCTGCTGTGCGGCACCGCGAAAAAAGTGAGCCACCAATCATGAACCGTGAAAACGTCGAAGAGAACTCCTCCGGATGGCCTGGGCCCGAAGCTGTTTTTGCTGGTGTTACTAGTGGTCCAGTTCCTGTCGAAGCCTCCCGTGTTACAGTTCCGGTCGCCGTTTCTTTTGCCCCCAGAATGGAATCGAGTAACTCCGTGTCGTAGCAGCCCTCGAGAGGGTCATTACCCACAGGTTGAGGCATCGTCTCCCTTCAGTCAAGCGGAAGCAACTAATTGGAGCAATTTGGCTATGCCTTACAGGGATGTCGAATCCCCCACGTCCATCTAGGCGGCAGCAGAATTCAAAGAGTGAAGCAAGAGACGAATCAATTTAGCGCGTCCGAAAGATACTAACATAAGCAAACATCATATAGCAAAAAGGAACAAATAATAAGTGCAAAGATGGTACCCTCATTATGTTGGGTACGCACATCTTTATACTTTTTTTTTTTTTTGGGGGGTTGTCCCCACCGAGCCGCGATGCGGCATGAACGGAATTTCTCCTTCAGTGACAGCGCTTCTTTTCACCACTCATAAGCAAAATTAGCAGCACCCAACTCCCAATAGGCAGCGACAGTCTAGTAGTGATGGAACACTTGCTGCTGCCACTGCTGCTACCACCACCACTACCTCACTCACTTACTTACTTACTCCACCTCTTCTTCCTCCCTTGGCTCAATAGCAAGTGGGCGCACTTGCTGTTGCTGCATTTGGCATTGCTGCTGCTGTTGTTGTTGCTGTTGTTGCAACAACTGCATCATCATCCCCATGAGCATTTGTGTTTGGTCAGGTGTCGCGCCACTGGTGACGGGCGCCGCGAGACCTTCACATCCCTGAGGGGCTGAAATGGCACCCATTTCCTCTGCAGACGGTTTGACGGCTCGTTCACGGACAGATGACTGAACTAAATCACTGCTCCCCTGTATACCCTCTTTTCCCTCGTACTGTGAGCGCACACATTCGTAGTACATCTGCTGAAGCTGCTGCCGCTGAGCCTTGTTTCGTGGATCTACGGCAGCGACATTCTTCACAGGGCGCAGCATAGAGGGGAGAATTGTATCGATACACTTCTGTATACCACTGATGTATCCCTCTTTCTCTGCCTTCTCAACATCTGGAAATTTATCCAGCTCAAACTTGTCCAAAAACGTACGGTATTCCTCAACTGGTGGGAAGTCCTTCCAGTTCATCTTATACTTAGCCGCCATTACCTCATATGTCTTTTGAAGACTATCGAGTGCTTTGCGCTTAGCCTTTTCCTTTCCAAAGAAAAGCGGCAGACTAGACCGCATCCCACCTACAATAAGGGCATGCACTAGTACCTCCTTTGCACGGCGTATAAGGCCAGCCACCTTCCTGTCGCGCCCTTGCTGTGGCACCACATCCATGATCTCATGCAGGAGATCAGTCTTCTCCTCCGTGAAAAGCAGCGTAAAGGTTCCCTCCTTGTATGGCTGATCCCAGAAGCTGCCAACATACACACGCGGTGGCTCCGTACAGTTAATAAAATTAGAGAGGTTCCAGAAGAGACTACCATATACCCGCATCAGTTCCTGTGTATTGACGCTATCAGCTTTGTTAAGGACGATGCGTACCTTGCCTTCCATGCCATGGAAAGCGTGCTTAAACATCATCCGAAGTTCGATCCCCGCGTCGAGCTTTGTTGGATCAAACAGGACAAAAATAAGGTCACTGCGCTCCGCAAACCAACGGCTCACTTTAATGTAGTCAAACCGCCGCTCACGAATATCCTTTGCACTCTCCAATACGCCAGGTGTGTCAATCAATNTTACGCGCTTCAAGAGTTCATGCGGCAACTGGAAACCCTGGAAGTTCTCCAGGAACGACTCGCCAAACTCCGCCAGCCCCTTGAATGGGAGATTCTTCGTGTTGGCAAGCACATGCCCGTTAATAGGCCCCACCTCTTCACCGTACACCACAACCGTGAACTCTGCCGTGGTTGGCTGCGGCCCCGTCCAAAGGTAGTTGTCCTGCAGCAAATGGTTAATAAAGGTACTCTTGCCAGACGACCACGGCCCAAAGAATGTAACAAACGGTTTCTGGTTGAGTATTGTCTCCTCAAACCAAGTAGGGCGAAACAAGTCATACTTGTACATATCCTCAAGAGGCTTCACGTGCTTCACATATGCATCGTGTAGTCTGGCGATAAGATCTTCCAAACTACCGGGATCTGGTCCTTGAGCCTCCGAAGCTGACATTACTGGAATGGCCGCAGCACCGGATGACATCGTGAAACGCGGTTGTATAGCTTTGAGCTGAGTGATGAATATGCACAACTCTTGCTTGTAAAGGTTAGAACGTAATAGATTCCGCACCAGGGGATATACTTTTCCAGAACTTGCCACTCTCTTGGTATTTCCTTCTGCTTCCCGTTTCTATATGTGCGAATTTGCGTGTTTGAGCGTGTACCTGCCTGGTAGACCTTCGCAGTAACCCAACGAAAAAAAGAAAAATCGCACCACACTTCTTCGGTGGTGAAGAGAAGGAGAGACACACCAAATAAAAAAAAATAAGAATGAAGGCACAAAGGAAGCCTCATCACAACATTTCCATCAGCATCCCTGACAATTCAGACCTATACCTTCATTCCTATTCCCATCTTTTGTAATTTCCTTCTCGCCCACTACTGCGCTCGCGCATATCAGCGCAGGACCCGCTACCAGGGGGCCGCAGCTCGCCGACGCCCACTCGCTCATCAGCCTTGGCACTCCGCGCCGCGGCGACCAACCCGCACCCCACCAAGGAAGAGAGGAAGGAACAAAACACGCGTGGCAGTCACTCCTGCCACAGTCACCTCAGCAAGACACAGCTAAACATAAACAGGCGGAGCAACTGATCAGTCAAACAATACAAAAAAAAAGCAAGGCTAGAAACGCCACAAAGACAAAAAAAAAAAACCAACACAGCACCATTAAGAGTGGAAGACAAAAAAATTCGGCAATGCAGAGAAAAATACGCAAACAACAACAAATCTGCAGCAAACAGACATGCTCGGAAGCACAAACCAACACAACCGTTCAGCACCAACAAACAAAAAGGCACCCCGCCACACAACTCGAAGCAGCCAAACACAATCCGGAAAAGACAAGCGAAACACAAGTGAAAACAAAGCCAAACATGACAACGCAGGTTACATTGTGTGCTATGACAAACACACAACACAAAACAGCCAATCGAGTCAGCCCATCATACGGGAAACACCACAAGTGCAACACACCTTTCCGCCATGATGCGTAGACCAGGGGGCTCGAGGTCTTCCATGCACTCCGGGGAACCTCTTTCAAAACGTCGCGGGTCAAGATGAAATGAACGCTGACACTGGAGATCTGTTGTGTGATATGTGCACTCGCTGGGGCGCGAATTGAGTCGTTGAGAAAGGGAGACACGAGACGATTCGTGACGAACAGAGCACGGCGCCCCCACTCTCACCCCGTACTCCATACTTTATTACTATGCCCACTCACTAGCCACTGAAACCCTTCCCTTCTATGGCTCACTGGGATAGAGTCGACTTAACGTATCCCGCTAGTGTTGGTAATTCAGCCCAATAATGATAGTTCACCTTAACGACTGGTGTCTGCGCCTTGTCTACCCAATAGCTCGTTCTCACCTTTGGTCTCGCCCCACTATTTGTTACCTAGCAACTGCTGCAATGTACTACTGGTTTACTTGTTTCGTAGGTGCCTTGAGTCTGGGCAAACCAGACCACTTTCAGAGAGGGGGACAAGAAGAACGGAAAAAACAATGAGTTAGCGCATTGCAGTTTCAAAGACAA